GTGTATCTTGCCAAGAGTCTGTTTAACAGCAAAGTTGATTACGCCATTAATTCTTCTTACTAAAACGGCTGCAATTTCAACCTGTTATCGAAAAGATTAAGGTATCCAAGGTCATTCGACAAGACTTTCGTGTGGAATTTTGTTCTGAGCGTAACTAAGCCTTAGCGGCCGCTGGCAAGGCAACTAAAACAAATTACGACACCATCACGAATCGACAAGTTATCAGTCGTTTTCAGAGAGATGTTTTTCACAGGAACCGAGCAGAGCTGTAAAGAACTTCAAAACGAAAAGGAAAAGAAAAAATGCGCAGTGTCCATTTCAGATACTGATCAATTCAATTAAGACATGTCAGATAAAATACATTAAGGGTGGATCAACCATAACGTTGTTGATGGAGGAGCGGGGGAATTGCATTCATTTTAGTTGCTCGATAATTGTTTTCCCCTCCACAACCGTTTTCCTTGATAATCTTTTATAATCTGAAGCGTCTGCTGAATGCTTTCTGGGGATTTGTCAGCCAATCCCCCATCAATAATTTAATGGTATACCTTGTCTCGTTTTTTGAGGTGAAATAGAAAGCTGTCCTGCGCTATACTCGGCCGTCGCCAACCTTTTAAGTTGAGGCTAGAGTTTATTAATTGATCACGAAACAAATGAAAGAGTTGAGAAAATTGTTGACACTGTAGAAAGAAAATAACGGCTACATTTTTCTCAGGATCGGTTCTACGGAAAGAGCGTACGCCGTAGTTTGCTTATTAAACTCCAAATACCATAAACAAAAAGTCAAAACTGGTGGAAACTTTATTCTCACGGGTAGATGAAAATGCGCCTTCTTCGCCATCTCCTGTTACCCGGCGATCATTTAACAAATGTTTAACTTTCTTGGAAAAAGGGTAGACTCTGCGAAGATGCTCTACACTATGCAAACAGTGATTATTATCCGTATTGCCTCTGAGGAATTGTTTATTGCCTTGGTCAAAATTGAGACGGTTCATTTTTCTGAAAAATGTGCGAAACATTGAGTTTATAAACACAAAATTCGAAATGCAAAAGAATTCGCAGCCTGTTATGACAATAAAAACCTTCCTCTTTCCAACTGAGTTTTGATGAATTAGCGTTTGTAGCAGCAGAAAAAAGTCGCAACATTTTAAATATTTAACGTTCTTAGCATTCGTAAACATCACAAGGAAAAACAGGTGTTCATTAATAAATGGACTCCTGGAATAAGCATTGGTGATGGGACAAGTTAGCAGCTGACATTCAACCAATGTGGGACAATTTAACGAGGGAGACTCGTGTTTCATGTCCCCAGCAACATGTACATCAGTACATATTGTTCTTTCCAGCGATGAAGAGTATTCCAAACTTGAGTCTTCAACTCCTCCGTACATATACAAAACGCCATGCTCCAGAAACCAAAAACTCTTGAAATAACATCAGTCAATTTTTTAAGGTCCTCGTCCTCTCCCCCTTAAGACACATTATAAAACTACGATTACAGACCTTTTCCTCCCTCTATAGTTCTTCCGTCCTCACTACACCCCCCCCCCCACATATTCTCCGTCATTTTCCCTGTCCACAGTAGCCTGCAGATATTTTCCGCCATATTGAAAACTTTGTCAGTAAGAAAAAGATTTCACACTCCCTTCCACTGCACAATAATTCGACATGATAGCTAAGCGACGGTCGGATCAAGGGGATGCTCTGCTTGCAGAATAAGGAATAAGTCACTGAAAGTGTCTTGGGTTAAGTAAACTGATAGCCATAGAAGCTTAGCTAAGAAAAATCGTTTTTCAGTCTATCAATTAACCGGTATCGTTCAGTCCTTCATCTGCTCCTGCAACTCTCCTTACTGTGTTATTGGACATCTTACCTATGACTATTTTTATCATGTTTCAAGTTTACTGAGCAACCTTTCCTTCAGTCAAAGTCTCAACGATCTCAATCAGAAAATCTTTCTCATTTATAATCTTCCTTTGAATTTGGTGTGACCCTTTCCTTGTGCTGAAGACGAGAAGATCTTGGAAAGTTTGTCCTGTGCTTCGTTTCCTTCCATAACGCCACTGCCTTGCTGATTACAGCTTAATATTCTTTAAATGGTGGCCAGGCCCGCTAACGGAAATATGAGGGAGGCTTTAATCATCTCCTTCCTGTTTACTTAAGCGTGTCTTTAGGCGTTTTAGGGCACTGCTCATTCGACTGAGAGTGAGAAAACGTACTCAGCAATGACAGCCTCGATTTCTTCAGAATGGATGCCATTTTGACACATGTAAAAACCTGGGATCTAGTTCTGTGAAAATCTTCGAGGCTTTCATTCACCACCCTTCGATCTACCGCTTCCATCGCGCCTGGTAAAGGAAAACACGTTTAAAATCCTTGAAAAGCATCTTCACTTTTTGAAACAGATGTCTTACGGTATTTTTGCGGGCCGAAGATGGGTCTATAGCCGGCTGTTTTGACCGGCTACCAGCCCGTATTGACAGCCCTGAATTATTTGAAATTGTGAAATCTCGGTAAATGACGTGTTTGCTTTGATTTTAAGTTTTCATGATTAGGATTTAGTGATTGTGGTTGCCACCACAGATGTCAGAAGTGGTTAAGAAAAAGATGTTGTTGATTTATTGGTGACGAATGACACTACAAGGTATACTCTCATGAATAATAAACGATAAATGAAGTGAGACTTGATGTCTCCCAAGAATGACAGTATAAGAGATATGTTCCATCTTCAGATTTTTATAAGACAACATGGTTTGAGTAGAATTGGAATACGGTTTTGCTTCCTTAATAATAAATAAGCTATTAGCTGTTTGGTTTCCAGTTATGAATAAGGTCTTGGGTGTGTTTCACCCCTGGCCGAAAAAGGTCAACTTTTATATCTTAAAGTTGGTTTAAATTGGACTTTTATCGTATAAACGTTTAGATTTACCTTATACCTTACTCTAGAGCTCACACTTATAGGCTTACATTCCCTATGACTTAAAGCTATAAGAAAGTATATTTTCAGCAAATGACTTTGATGTATGTAATCATATTTCGTAATCAGACCTATCCCTTATCATAGTGAAACAAATTGAATGATTGTGAAAATGATTATTGATGAGAAAACATGCATAAGCCAGCGCCGCAAAAAAAAAAGGAGTTTAGAAGAAGGCTAAATCGGGCTATCGCTAACATGACAGAGAGGTTATGACTGAAGGAACAGAACAAGTCTGGAACATCATAGCTGATGTGAGTAAAACCAACTAAATCAAATAATAAAAATGTAATTATTCGTTGGAGGACCTCTGTTCGAAGCGTTTGCTACACCTCCTTTCACAACTGTATAAACAAGCGAGTTCTCTTCACGTACCTTTGTTACTACGATCAAGAAAAAGAAAAATTAACATGTTCATAATTAGCTATCGTGAATATAATTTACCTGACACTGGATAACGTATTTTCAAAGAGAACTAAGCTCGTGTCGTAGTTTCTGAAAATAGATTAAAGGTTATAACCTTGCATCGTCTTTCTTTAAAATCAAAAAAAAACTGTTCATTTGTAAAATACTCAACATAAATACGACCAGAAGCGTATCCTTCTAACACAACAAAAAGCATGCTTTTGAGTTTGATTGTTGTTGTTATGAGGAGAGCCTGACTCTCTCCTCACATATAAAATCCGTCCGGTCCTTTTGGCGTTTCATGGGCAGGCGAGGAGTCTTAAAAGTTAAGCCGCAATTCTTCAAGTTCTTCGTTTGTAATCCGTGTTAATCTTCGCTATCCTTAACCATGCTCGTTAAGTTTTGGGTTATTATTACATCCTTGGTGTTTTTCTAACTTAGCCAAGTATTACTTTGAGGTTTCCTTCCATTTCAAGGTGATTTTGTACATCGCAAAAAAAAAATGATTCAAAACTCGTGGCAATGCTCCTTTGACGTCCACGGGAATTTTATGAAGCTTTGTAATATGGCTGATAATCAAAGGCACACACTCTTTCACATTGTAAACAAAGTGAGCTCTCCTCCTCCTTCTTATGATGATCGATGGTGAATAATTACTTTCACAGAGTTGAAATGCCGGCTTTGAAAAAGATCAAAGTCATGACCCCTTTAAAAGATCGATAGCAAGAAGTGTGAAATGGAGAAAGGGGAACTGGTTTATTTTGACATTTTTGGCTCGATTTTTAATAGTGTTTTGCACGCGTTTCCATGATGAATGAAATGTCTGTTACAAGAACTTGGGGTCCAAATACACAAAGAGGCTTTCAACACTGGAGTGCGGTTTCATAAGAACATCTAAAAGGAATCCCGCCGTAAAAGATGTTAAGCTGTCTAATATCGGTTGTCAATTAAAATAACAAAGAAGGGTTGCTCTTGCAAAGCACTTAACCCAGTTTACAGCCTTATAATTACCAAGGGTTATTCTTTAATCCTAGCCACGGGTTGTAAAGAGATGTTATATTTTGCTGGAGACTGCACTTTTAGTAAAAGCAGCGAGTGAAAAAACAGTCTACAGCTGTCCGCGGTTCCAGCCACAGTTGTCAAGCTTGTTCCAGGTCAGTGCATGCTTATGTAATAGTAGCTTCTGTGCATGGGTAGGTAAATGATAATCCTTCACTTTAGTTTTAAGATAACCTTGTATTTATCGGCCATAAGTATTTAATCCGCCGAAGGTTTCGAAGCGACATAGCTTTCTGGCGGACACACAAAAACAGCAGCATGTGATACTTTAATTACTATTCCAGCATAACTCTCGTTTTAAGGTCTGCACTCGTCTAGCGGGTACCGTACTGTACAAAAATCCCATCTTTGAATAACGTGCTAACTGTAAAACACATCTGAGACAGTGAAAGTAAAACAGAACTTAGAGAACCGACAGATGAGGCATTTTAACTTTTTGCTCTTCGTTTAATTACAAGAGTATGTAGCTATTCAAGTGAACAGACAATAACTTCGCTCTATTGTGAACGAAGGTAAACCTTTTACTACTGTATTTTAATATACCTAGTCAACTGTAAAAGCCAGTGATTTCAAACAGAATTATATGTTAGAGGACACTTGGTAACATTCCCTACATCTTTTACTTTAGTATAAAGATCTCTTGACAAAAGACGAGAATGAAAGATTTCATTAATCGCCAGTCTGGTAATCTGATAATCTGCGCGTATATATACTGCCAATNTTATTATAATTACGGTCACCCAACTAGTTTAGCTTTTTAGTTATTTTGGGTGTCCCACTACTGTATGTACTGTACTGTTTATTTATTTATTTATAATTACAATCTTATAAATTCTTTTAGTTGTTTACAGTAGTAGAAATAAACTGTTGTTGTTGTTGTTGTTTGTCCAAAAAACACTTCTTAACCTTGACATGTTCTTTTGCTCCCAGAATTGAATCTCAAGTCAGTTCTATATCAGTATGCTTCCAGTCCAATCGGTGGATTTAACTGACCCTAGTGTGTGACCATTCAATTTTAACCTATTGAGAGGATCTCTTTGGTTTTTAATATTGTGAAAAAATTAATATAAATAAATATATCTTTTTCTAAAACAAAATTTGAACTTCAGCACTATGGGTATGAGAAATAAAACTGCTGAGCCCTTACCATAGTCAGTGTACGATGCATCTAGCTGCATATACTTTAGGTTCTGCTAGCAAGTAAAAAAGAGAGAAAAAACTTAAGAATTTCCTTAAAATTAATATTGTAAGGAATCGGTGAGGTCCTTTATGAAAAAAGTTAATCGTCAAGGGGACGGAAATAATTGTACGCATTTTTCAAACGACCTTGGAGTGCTTATTCGAAGTAGATTCCACTTCAGTGTGTTGTGCTCCAACATGATCTCGTAAATTAAGTGCAAAGTCTGAGTGGCTCGTAGAAAGGTGCAAGAACTGTCTATTGTATAATTTGACTGGTCTAAACACAATACAAGTTCCAAACGAGGTGATATTCATCAAAATCACAAGGACATTAATACTTGGGTGAGAAAATTCCATGAATTTTAAGTCTCGTCACCACTTAGGTGAAATTTTTTTTTCTAACGTTTAATAATTTCTTTTGTGTGGTAAATAAAATAAAAACAAAAATAAATAAAAAGAATCAATTACAATGTCATGAGCATAATTTATCCCCCAAACTGTTTGAATTTTTTCATTGGTCTAAAGAAAAAAAAATACGATACTTATTGTCTTGCACATCGAAATTGCGCAAAAAAGTAATATATAAAGGAGCAAACGCGCCAGTTGCTAACTGACAACGGCAAGCAGAAACCCGTCTGCATGCTAATTATGTACATAAAAGAAATACTAACGACTTTTCTTCAATCGAAACGTTTGCCCCTAAATCTCGGCAATTCAGGACAGGACGTTTCCGAGTTAATTTGCCCAAAAGCGCAGTCACTCACTCGTTTTTCCTATTAAAACAGAGTTTTAATTTTACGAAAACGTTGATCCATCACCGATTGATCACCGATAAATGCAAAGAGCGTTAATTTTTATCCGCCGGTTTGTCAGCAGGTAATTATTAAACCTTCAGTTATTGAAATTACGGCCATGCAAGTAGGGAATCTTGCCTGATCGGAAAAAGTAATCCTATGTGCTTATGATTACGATCACACATGTAATTATATTCGTAATAACAAACTTTACACTTCTATTGGAAACCTGTCAAGACAGGACTGAACTAGCCAGTCAGCTGTAAAACCAGTCACCGCTGAGGACTCAGTAGTTTTCTTCAACTATTGTCTACACTGAAGTGGCCTGAGAATGTTTGGAATTTTCAAGGCTTTTACGCCTAAACGAGATCAAACTTACATACTGCATGAGCTGGGACTCGAGCTTGTAGGTTTGTGTTCAACGCAGATATAATAATTAAGGGACCAGGGTCGATTAACCTCTGTAAAGGACAGATTTGGTTTGTCAGCTCTACGTTTCTTTGGATTACACCAGTAGACAACAATACACATAGCCAAAAAGGCTGACACCTCAGATATATATAGCTGGATATATCGTAAAAGGCTATCTAGGTTTGTTCGGACCGCTTTTCAGTTCGACGCATAAAATTACTGTTGTCATCCGTTAGGACATAGCGTTGAAAAGCTAGTCTAGTTATGGAACTTGGAGGTAAAAATTCAGTCACAAATCAAGAAAGATTTCCTGGTTTAAGCAAACAACAAATCTGCGTTTATTATGCGCCTTGAGTGGAGTAGGCCGGGTACAATGGCGAATGCACTACTCCAAATTGAGGGCCGTAGCTCGTAACAGGCAAACCGAGGCACTTGCCTCAGTCACTTTTTGCGATTTTGTTGTTAATACCTAAGAGAATTTAACCCTGGACATGGCCTCAGCCATAACTTTTTCATGGACATTCCCGCTCAGTCGATATTCTTTTCCGGTTACTGACAGCCCTGAAATTACTTGAGAGTTTTATTATCTACTTTCCACAGCTTTTAACATGAGTGCTGCACGATTACCGACGACCTAGTCGTTAGAGCAACGGTTATCTCACGGATATCCCCGGGGGAGGTACTTTGGTTCTAGGTGGGGATGTGCCGCTTGGACCCTGGAACCCTTAGCCTATACCAGAGCTAGTTCAGCTGAATTTTGCTACCCTATACTAAAGTAAACTCTCCAAATCCCCCCATCTATCGACACTGTTGAGGCTGATTTGCGTAAATTTAAACTTGCTAATTTGATTTTTTTATATTTTTGAGTGGCAATTCCTGGTTTCCTTAGTGTAGGTAAAATCTTCAACCAACTAGTCAGTTTTGTGAAAAATGATACCCTATTCTATACCCAAACGCTCTGATTTATATACCCTCTCCTAGAGTAAACCGCTTGAAAACCATACCCTTCACAACGGCACATACCTATATAGCCCATATATGGCAGTGCCCCCCCGGGCGGATATCAAAGAAATTTTCTTCTCCTCGTGTGACCCACAATTTCCTTTCCATAGAGCTAACGCTCGGAAGTAAATACTTGGGTTCATTTCCAGCAATCCAAATTACTTTAGACTTAATCCTCTACTTCCAGCTCCCAGACAAATAGAGACTTTTACGAAAAAACAAGCCTGCTGACTTCGAAGAATGCAGATAGGACTTGTACAAAAGACTGAAGACTGCGAAAAGCATTTTTTTTTTTTTTTACATCTAGTTTTTCACTCGAAATGCCGCGCTGATAAGCAGGATCCTTATCAGAGCTTGCCTTTAAGACGACGTTTAGGGCTAAATATGAAGTGTTTTGCAGTCTAGTACTAAAGCAAGTCTGGACACTGTTAACCGAGTTTTGGCATCTCTTCCTAATGGTATATGGCGTCTTAAAAGACCAGCCATATACAGGAAGAAAGGTATTTTTGAAGAACTCTTTCCGTACCTTTTTTTGAACTTGGATTAAACTACTGTAGAAAATATAAATTTGTTCCTGGAATTCAGTTGCTTATGTGGGCGATTGTCTCATTTTGAGTTTCATTTTGAGGGGGAGAGCTTTTTGAGTTGGGCTGTATGGGCCACTGTTTCTTTAGGCCCCACTGAGATCAGTACCTGCCAGTTACCCGGGCAATTACCAGCAAGACAGTACAAAGGACTCCACGCGCTGGCCATACAAACATTAATTGGTGCACAAACATTAATTGGTTAATGATTGATTTTACATTCATAACGAACCAATAGGCTTACACCAATCACTGACTGTTTGGTTTTCGCACTTCCCAATTGTATGTACCTCCAGGTGCCCCACATGTGCGTCAAAAGACCATTTTACACGAAACCACAGCTAAGACTGAAGTGAAAGTTAACTCCAGTGTACTCGATCTACTCTTTTTAACAGGCTCAAGAGGCGAACCTTCATTCGAGAGACGAATTCTCAAAGCCGAGAGAGGAACAGAAGAACTATGATGGAGCATTTTGACGTGGCAGTGTCAAACAACAGCAATGTAAATATTTCACAAGACGACAGGGATATTTCTACCAAGTCAGACGCTGGTTTTATTGTTATTTTCGTTACGCTATCCATTCTTGGACTTTTCATAATTGGTATCAACGCCCTGGTCATTTATCTGGTGCTGACCAGGGAATATCTCAAGACCGTCACCAACTTCTGCCTTGCAAGTCTGGCCGTATCTGATATGCTCTCAGGGCTCTATGCTGTACCGCTTATTATTACCTGTAATTCTCGCGCTAGCACCATTAATATCTGTATAGCCATGGACTTGGGTCTAAGATTTCTATCGATATCGACCGTGCTGCATCTTCTATTGATTACAATGGAGAGATATTTCACTATAGTTTTCTCGGTAATGAGAACTACCTCTGTTATCTCCAAGAGAACCTGCCTGGCAGTTTTGGTGCTAGTCTGGGCACTCTCACTTTTCGCCTCACTCATTCAGCTATCATTCATCAACGAAAAAACGAAGGAACCCAGTGTAGACGATATCATTTACGATTTCATTTGCCTTGCACTCTTCGTTGTGTTTCCTCTTGTAACTATGGCAGTGGCGTACATTCACATTTTCTATACCCTGAGGAAACACTGCAAGCGAATCAAGCGGGACGTCTCACATCTCTCTTCAGAATGCATGGAACACAATGCAAAGAAGGAAAGGAAAGCACTGATCATCTACGGTGCAATGATCTGTGTCTTCATCGTCGGATGGTTCAACTATTTTTTCAGATCGTTGCAAGAGGATTTAGGAAACGGATATGGGATTCCCTTGTGGGCTGACGGCATTCTGATACCGTTACGGTTCTCCACCGGGTTTTTTAACCCATTGCTGTACACGTTCCTCAAGCAGGACTTCAGACGAGCGAGAAAATCCTTCCACTTCTTTGGCGGGAGAGAACGAACTTCGTCTTTTCAAAGAACATCTTGGAGTGTTTCTTCTACCAGAAGGACCTATCTTTTGTCTGTTTCATCCGCCGATCACGCGGCCTCCTCTGTTTGATTCAGGTTATTAGTTGGCACATCGATCAATAACGTTTTTCCCGCAAAAATAAACATAATCGCGAAAAGTTTTCCTGCGGCCCCTTTTTGTAATGCTTTTCACGAACTTTGAACTTCGCCTAGGCTCGATTTCCGCCGCTCTCTCGGGCCCGGTCGGCTGGTAATCGAGCCTAAACTTTGCTGGAAGGCTAGGCTAGGCAAGGGTATCTGGTATTACAATCTAGGGTACAATGTAAACATCAGTGACACTAGAAATGTACGCCTGTAATTAACAGATGGAAGTTACCGTTCTGTACTAGTCCATGGCATGAACACATAAGAGACTCTTCACGAGAAAGTTAAGGCCCCGAAAGAATATACACATACACAAATATGAAATTTGTAAATATTCGTATGATTTGAAGAGACTCACATTTGTGAACGTGACAATCGTGATCTACAATTATAAATTTGATTTCAATCAGAGTGGTTTGCACCAATACTGCTCTTTTTAAAAAGAACATTCTGTGTCTATCACACAATAAAGTACGTTATGTAAAGTTACCTGTAGCCTCTGGGTAACTCACGCAATCTCTGATATGGTGGTAGAGTCACGCATTCCTGTAGGAAAGCCACAGTATCAGGATGTGATATCCTCTTCACACTAAAATATATGAATTAAGAATGTAATAAGATTAAACATACAATTGTGATCCAATGCCATCTGAGTCTGGGGGAATTTGTAAAGTTATTAAAGCAATGGGAATTCTTGTTAGACATTTCAATAGCACCCCTAGTAATTAAACCACAATGTATTTTCTGGGTGTTGCTCAAGCTTACTGTAATCCCGACAGGGTAGCAGTGTACTAAAGCACTTCTATTTCTGAGTCAGAGTGATCTTAATGAGACCAGTGGGGAAACCATTGGGAGGTATAAACTGTCTAGTTCCCTCCACTTACTCAATGGTTCCAACTTCTTGGTGCTTTTTCTACTGAAAAAATATATTCATGTATGGGTTATTGACCAAGAATGATGTCAAGATGGCTGGATATTGCCTCAGTTCTTTTTTTGTGTGTTTATGGACCAAGATGGAGTTGAGGTCCACCAGCACACCAAAAAAAGAACAAAGCTAATATCCAGCCATCTTGACTGAACAAGCTTAGTCAATAAAGGATTTATTATCACTGCACCTTTCAATAACATGTGGACTCTAAAATTCAAAGCTCAACAGACAAATGCGTTTTTCACTACCGTCAATCAAATGTTCAGCGACTCCTCCGAGCTTCCGACTACTGCCGAGCACTGTTTCATTGTCTGAACTTTGCTCAACGATTTGATCACCGCACGCTCGGCAGTAGTCAGAAGCTGGGAGGAGCCGCCGAACACTTGATTGATGGTAGCAAAAAATGCATTTGTCGGTTGAGCTTTGAATTTTAGAGTCTGCATGTTATTGAAAGGCGCAGTAATATAACTTTTGGGGAAATTTTTTGCAGAACACGGCAGGTAGTCCTGAGCCAGCAAGATAGCATTATCTTGCCACTTGGGTAGCCTATCACAGTGCAGGATTTGGTTCACCTTGCCCACTCACAGAACTAGCCATATAATAATATACATTGGAAAACAGTCCTAAGAAAATACACACGCTAATTGGTTAAAAATTGTGTTTCTATAGCTCGATTGAAACACAGAACTAGCACGAGCTGTTGATGTAATGATGGCGCGAGCAAAGAGAATTTACACTTTGATAATAAAAGTTACCAAGTTGTTTTCTTTTTTTCATTGTGGTGTTTTCTAAAAGAAATAGAAAACATGTTCTCCTTGTTTCTGTTGAGTTATAGAAACACTTGTGAAGGTTTGTGAGAACTCGAAAAAGCTCGTGTTTCTATAACTCAATAGAAACACCATACATGTTTAATTTCTATTTCTTAAATATTGCCACTTTCTCCTAAAGTAATCCCTTTTTCCTGAGCTCCCACTACCTCGGAAAAACTACCTCTGGTAGATTCCCCCTGTTCCCACACATATCCTACTAGTACAGCCAAACGTCACCTTCCAGACAAGAGAGATCATAAAAGTGAATAACATGAATTTTCTTTCTTGACAACTTGTTGCTGTTTATTAATTAATAGAGCTTACTTTGAAAATGAAACCCTACCATAAATGCATGTAGCATTAGCGATATATTGTGAAAATTGAAGTGGAACAGCTCATAAGTGGTATCAAAAACATGATTTTAAACTCTAAAAGTTATGATGACCATTCCCCATCATTGCTATAGATTTAAGAGAGATCTTCTCCTTCACCCTCAAGGAGTTTTAGTAAGGTGTGTAATACAACACAAAATAAATAATGCATTTAATAATGGACTTGAAAAAAATCAATATAGAGGAAGTCTAATCTCCCCCAAAGCCTCCGAAGTTAAGTGGAACACAAATTTATGGAAGAATTTTGTTCACTTCTAAACACCACCCAAACACTTACAAAGATGTCCAAAGATCAATCAAAGATTGCATCGCATTGTAACTGGTATAGTTGAAGGTTGTGGCAAGTGTATTATTTACTAATAATCCCATGATTTTTCTCTTGCAGTTTGAAATAAATGAGCACTTTCTTCAAAGACCACAAATTGCAATTAACCTTTGGTCTCATGCATTTTTTCAGCCTTTGAGAGATTTACTCCTGACTATCAATTCCAAATTACAGTCAAAGTAACATGATTGCATAAACTAACACAGTGCAATGAAAATGCAATTCTTTGAAACAAACAAATGTCCACTGGGATAACGTTGAAAACCCCTCTCAAATAAGAAAACAAAATAAAATCAAATTAAGGTGTCAAATTGTTTCAAATACAACTGAAGCTTGAATGATATCCTGACTAAACAGTGTTGAGCATGTCCTTACCGATATTTCGCTCCATAAGTTATTAGTCTATGCAGTTGTAAGTGCCATAGATAGCCACAGGTTCCATTAATGATGTGTTTACACGATGACGTAATTGTCATGAGACCGAAAGTGTTTTTGGGACACGTTGAATGTTATTATTCTGTATGAGAAGCCATATTGAAAATTTGTACGAAGTGAATCCTTCAGAATCCTTGTAATCCTCAGTCAGTAGAGTCTGAGACAACCTAATCTTAAGGAGTAGAGCCTATAGAATCCAGAATAAATACAGTCCAGAGGGAATTCTTGTATAGATGTGATTATATAACCAAACACTTTTGAAAACTTCTAAACAACACCTGAACAGTTTTGAAGATTTTGGAATAACTGATACCCAAACAGTTCCAAAGATTTCCAAAGTTTTTCAAAGATCACCCAAAGATTTTCAATAGTTTTCAACACTATTGGTAGGTTTGCATTTACAAAGATATTTGGAAGACTGAAGAGCACTACCCACCGCCTAAGTAATTGATTGCTATATAGCCAAAGACTGTAAATAATCTATTTTTAAAATTGTTTTGATAACCAGTAGTCGCATGAATTTTCTCGAAAAATTTGGAAGGCATAAGCACAATGGGCACATAAAATTTTGTTAGCCTTCAAAAAATTTACTCATGCTTATTTATTCCAGATTATAAACAATTATTGGATGAGGTTTTTGTGATATCCTGAATAATCAAGGTCGAGGTAGGGGTTATTAGCAAAGCCAAAGGCTGAGGCTGATAACCCTTACTGAGACCTTGATTATTCTGTATATCACAAAAACCAAATCTGATAATTGTTTTATTACAAATTGAACAAAAAAAAAAGTCATGTTTTTGCTTCTTCACTGACGGCAAGCAACACAAAGCACATGAACTTGACATGATTACCCTTAGAAATCATGCACCGCGGTCATACAAGACATGATTACCAGTGACCTAGACATGATTATTGACTGAATAATCTGCAGCTAGATGACGTCACAGGCGCTGATTTCGAAAATTCACTGTACACTTTTGGCCAATCAGAGACGTGATTTTAAGTTCAATGTATAATAACACTCAAAATCATGTGATTACCTATACTACTTTGGAGCTGCACAGTGCAATGTGTTCTGATGATTGACATTTTTTTTTTTGTCACAGCCTACATGTACCTTCCAAAAATATCTTCTCTCAATAGTGGAACATATCCAAGTTTAAAGCAAAGTATTAACATAAAATGCAGACGCGGGAGTTTAACCCTTTGTGGTCCCAAATAGCATTTTTTAAGAGCTTCATGTCAAATCCAAGAGGCTGACTCCTAGAAGTTGAATGGGTATTGAAATCTAGCCTAGGCCACGAAGTAAGCTTACTTCAACGCCCCTTTATTTGAAGGACAATTTCAGCTACATGTAACAGGGTCACAGCACTTGGTTCTGAGCTCCAGGGCAAAACAAACTTCAGGGTCACCGCGTTTTAAAGAAATGTAAGTATGCTCCTTCAGTCCTTGTACTTGTAAACTAACCTGAAAATTGTAATCCCGCTAATCTCCATTTCTGACATTGATAAAAATCTGACAAACCCAGTGAGCGGCTGTAGATAAAGAGAATGAATGGTACAAACAGTAGATATTTATTCCACGATAAGAAACAAAACGAGTTATCAGTTTTTACCTGTCAAGCGCCTCACTTCTTTAGCTCTCTCGTATCATCAGTTTGCTGGCATATTTTTTTAGGTACGATTTAAACAACCGAGCAAAAAGAGCAAAAGCTTTTTCACGACAGGCGCTAGTTCCAGGGCTGACGCGGACTTGTGAAATGGCGGGAACACAAACGCCCGCGATCTTACACGTCATAGCTACACGTGATCAACTTTCAGGTTTACCTGTCACGCAATTAAGTCACGCAATATTTAATATTCTGGCTACGAAGTGGAGCTGGGCGGAACCTGAATTGAAAGGACCCATTTTACTGCTGAAGGAACTCGATTAATGAAAATCACTGCAAGCAAAATAGGGGATTTCTAAAGATAGCAGCCTCTTCGAGCCGTTCAGATAGCTGTAGCGCAGCGCAAGGGCGTACGGCGGGGCGTAACGCGAAAAAAACGGCGAGCAAAAAAAGAAAAGAGGAGCTTGGTGCGAGGAGCGAACACCTTTCCGCGCAGCGCTTTTCCCCGGCCTGTTTTCGCTCGCCGTTTTTCCCGCTGCGTACCAACTAAGTGGACGCCTGAAAGAGGCTATACTATAAAGATAGCTTCCCTGAAAGTGAAAAAGCTGAATATGTTACTGATAAAAAGGCGTGATTATGAATGGTTAGAACCGCTAGAAAAAGCGCGTTTTAGCTAAAAAACAATACAGTGGCCATAATAAAATACTTTACACTTGTGAAACGTGCTCAAAAAATATCAGTCGTGTTTTGACAAACAGGAAGACATTCTTTCACTGTGCAGGGGACATGTCTCTCCTGTGGCCCTGAGTACAGCTTAGTATTTACTTCCTGATACCATGAAAACATTTAAACAGCCGATCAAAGCTGTGTGATATGACGAGACGATTTCTAAATCACTACAACATTCCGTAAAATGTTTGATCTTTCAATCGACAAAATCTGACCGCAAGAAAATAATTACTAGCCGAGCAAATTGAAAGACTGACATCTTTCGTAAGGTTTAGTGTGTTTCATATGGGACAAGCCTGGCGGAGTTTGTGATCATTATGTTCTCAGTGCTGCTCACGTATCGTGATGTTATCACCCAGCCACTACTTCTTTAGTTGATCGAATACTTGGGAGCAATGTGAGATTCATCTTTTTCA